GCCTTTATGGTAGTGGCCAGACGAAAGCCACTCCTCAGTAAAAGGCACATGACAGCTCGCTTGCAGTTTGCCTAAAGGCACCAAAAGGACTCTCAGACCATAAGAAACAAGATTCTTGGCCTCCCGAGTGGCGCAGTGGTCTAAGGCACTGCATCGCAGTGCTAGCTGTGCCATAATTGGCCCTGCGTCGTCCAGGGTAGGGGAGGGAATGGCCGGCAGGGATGTAGCTCAGTTGGTAGAGCATGGTGTTTGCAACGCCAGGGTTGTGGGTTCAATTCCCACGGGGGGCCAGTATGAAAAATAAAATAATGTATGCACTCACTAACTGTAAGTCGCTCTGGATAAGAGCGTCTGCTAAATGACTAAAATGTAAATGTAAATGTAATTCTCTGGTCTGATGAAACAGAGATTGAACTCTTTGGCCTGAATGCCAAGCGTCACGTCTGGAGGAAACCTGGCACCATTCCTACGGTGAAGCATGGTGGTGGCAGCATCATGCTGTGGGGATGTTTTTCAGCGGCAGGGACTGAGAGTCCTAGTCAGGATCAAGGGAAAAATGAACGGAGCAAAGTACAGTGAGATCCTTGATGAAAACCTGCTCCAGAGCGCTCAGGACCTCAGACTGGGGCAAACGTTCACTTTCCAACAGAACAATTACCCTAAGCACACAGCCAAGATAACGCAGGAGTGGCTTCGGGACAAGTCTCAGAATGTAGGCCTATAGCTTCGTGTAACATAAACATTAGGCTTAACATGTGAAAATGACGACCAAATAAAAAGAAACATGCATCCATTAAAGCAAAGCTAGACTACTACAAGCACTAACACCACATCATCTGATAGACGCATAGATGTCCCAATTTCAGAACCATGGACAGTGATCGGTAGTCTATACTTTGTGAGTGGCTGACTCATTAGAAACTGCTTATCGCACACAGGCAGTAAGAGACAAGAGATGCGATTCCTGAGAGAGAGAGAGAGAGAGAGAGGGAGCAATGGAGAGAGAGAGAAAAAAAGAGGGAGGGATGGATGGGGAGAGAACCTGAGACTACACAAACAGAGCTGATCTCTGAACGAATGATTACTTTATCCTATCCCAGGTATTCCAGGTATACCTCTCCCTACACTCCTCCTCCTCTCCCTCCCCTCTCCCTACTCCTCCTTTCCTCCTCTCCCTACTCTCCTCTCCTCCCTACTCTCCTCTTCTCCTCTCCCTCCTCTCTCCCTATTCCTCTCCTCTCCCTACTCTCCTCCTCTCCCTACTCTCCTCCTCTCCCTACTCTCCTCCTCTCCCTACTCTCTCCCTCCTCTCCTCTCCCTCCTCCTCCTCTACCACCTCCTACTCTCCTGTCACTCCCCCTCCTCTACCTCCTCTCCCTCCTCTCCTTACTCTTGTCCTCCTCTCTCTCCCACCTACTCTCCTCTCCCTCCTCTCCCACCTCCCACCTCCTACTCTCGTCCCTCCCCCTACTCTCCTCCTCCTCCTCTCTCCCCCTCCTCTCCTCTCCTCTCCCTCCTCTACCACCTCCTACTCTCCCTCCTCTCCCTACTCTCCTGTCACTCCCCCTCCTCTACCTCCTCTCCCTCCTCTCCCTACTCTTGTCCTCCTCTCTCTCCCACCTACTCTCCTCTCCCCTCCCACCTCCCCCACCTCCCCCTCCTCCCCCCTCTCCTACTCTCCTCTCCACTCTGCTGCTCCTCCCATTTACACAGCCCCATCAAGACACCTCAACCAGAGATTAATCACACACAACGCACAGAGAAAGATTGATTGACACACACAATGTCCAAGTGCACATGCTGCAGAGAGAGGTGAGATAAAGAAGACAGGAAATTGATACACACACACAATATCTGTGTGTTGAAAGGTGCCGAGAAAGGACAATGAAAATCCTGGGGAAATGAAACCTGGGGATATAGAGAAATACAGCCCGGGTCTGTTAACACACACACACAAACACAGTTGAGGGGTTTAATTAACAGCAGCCTAACTGTCACTGACAGCACACTTAATGAAATACAGCCGAAAGAGAGAGCGAGAGAGAAGGAAGGAAGGAGAGAGAGGGGGAGGGAAGGAGAGAGAGAGTGGGAAGGAAGGAGGGAAAGAGGAAGACCGAATGAGAAATGTGATTCATTTTCACTAGTGTCTTGGATATGTGTGTGTGGCTGTAAGAAAAGGGGGGGCTAAGTAGGCCTCCTGGGGAGAATAAAAGAAAGAGGGAGGACAGAGAGAGAGTGGGGGAAGGAAGGAGAGCGAGAAAGAGAGGAAGTAAGAGGAGTGGAGAGGAGGGGGAGTGGAGGAGGGCTAGTGGGGAGGAGGGAGAGTGGGGAGGAGGGGAGTGCCACAACAGAGAGAGCACAAAACACAAGCAAGCAAACACTCACACAGGCGCTAGTTGTCTGCCCAGAGAAGCTAAAAACAATCGGAGTACTGTCACATGCACACTCGTTCAAATTGTTATACTGATCTTCACCTCCTCCTTGTAAGTCTGCCAAACTTCTACATACAGAGCATTATTCCACAGGGAAATAAAACAACATTAACCCCCCCCCCCCCCCAAAAAAAAAAAAAAAAGATTGTAGAAAAAGAGAAAGGTGAGAGAAAGAGGAGAGGAAGAGGAGAGGGAAAGATAGGAGCAAGAGTGTCTGTGTGAGTGCATGTGAGGCAGCAGTGTGTGTGAGTGCATGTGAGGCAGCAGTGTGTGTGTGTGAGTGCGTGTGAGGCAGCAGTGTGTGTGTCTGTGTGTGTGTGAGGCAGCAGTGTGTGTGTCTGTGTGTGCGTGTGAGGCAGCAGTGTGTGTGTGAGTGAGTGCGTGTGAGGCAGCAGTGTGTGTGTCTGTGTGCGTGTGAGGCAGCAGTGTGTGTGTGTGTGTCTGTGTGCGTGTGAGGCAGCAGTGTGTGTGTGTGTGTGTGTGTGTGTGTGTGTCTGTGTGCGTGTGAGGCAGCACTGGTGTGTGTGTGTGTGTCTGTGTGCGTGTGAGGCAGCAGTGTGTGTGTGTGTCTGTGTTTCACACTTCCCTTCACGGAAAATGTATGAGATGCGAGGAAGCAGAGCGAGGCAGAGAGGAAAGGGGGAGCTTGTGTGTGTGTGTGTGTGTGTGTGTGTGAGAAGCACAAAGAAAATAAAAGAGAGCGCTCAGAGGAAGGGGGGGAGCGGGAGAATGGAAAGATATAGAGGAGAAGAATTGAGAGAGAGAGAGATATAGAGGAGAAGAATTGAGAGAGAGAGAGAGAGAGAGAGAGAGAGAGAGAGATATATAGAGGAGAAGAATTGAGAGAGAGAGAGATATAGAGGAGAAGAATTGAGAGAGAGAGAGAGGCAGAGAGAGAGAGCAGAAGAGGAGAGAAGATATCGAGAGAGAGATCCTTGCGCGACGCCTGCTCGCTAGCGCGTAGACTCGCTCCCGAGCCCCCGAGAGAGATAGAGATAAGAGAGAGAGAGAGAGAGCTTGTCTTACCTCGTATCCGAGACGTGCCGCTCTCTGTAGCAACGTCTCTCCAGCGTTCTTGTTGACGATTAGTCTCCGTGCCTCAGGGGGGATGGGCCGCACCACAGGAAGCTCAGCTGGGGGGACCCTCCTCACCCCCGCTCTCTCCGGTGGGACAGTCCCACTGCCGTTCACCTGGGGGGGAAGAGAGGGGGGCTGCGTTGCGGGGGAACAGGTCTTGACCGGAGAGCCGAGGTAATGGAGGGGAGAAGAGGGTATTTTCCTCTGAGCACACTGCTCACTGACCTGACAAGAGGAGGAGGGGTTAGAGAGAACTCACACACACCAATTAAGAAATAGCTACTCACATACAAACAAATGCTCAATCACAAACAAAGCTGTACCCTCACACAACGTGTGTCTGTGTGTGTGCATAAGCTTTTGCCCGCCCCCCCCCCCCCCCCCACCCCCAGTGGAATACGGAGTCAGAGCAGCTGTCGGAATCCGAAGCGAGGGATGGAACGGTGAGAGCAGAAAACAACTAGCCTCTTTTTTCCTCTCCTTTTTTTCCCTTTGAACTCCGACGCTTCAGACACTCAGCCGCGGCTGCCACATTTCTGTGTGTGTGTAATTGAGTGCTCACCGCCAAGTCTACTGCTGAAATGCTCCAGGGTTTTCTCGTTATGTAAAGAATGCTCGTACACACACACAGTGTTGGCATTGTTCTACACAATAACACACACTTGAAGCTGGAGATAAACACACACACACACACACACACACACACACACACACACAATACCACGCACACACACCGACAAACAGACACACACTCCACAGGGAGTTTTCCAGGGCAGGAAAGGGTCAGAGCAGCAGCAGCACTCTACACATTGTAAACATATTTCATCTCTCACTCTTATTCCCCCTCTCCCTCTCAGTCCCTCTGTACTCCCTTCCTTCCTTCCTCCCTCCGTGCCACCGTCCCTCTGTCCTCCCTCCGTCCCTCCTCCCTCCCTCCGTCCCGCTGTACTCCCTCCCTCCTTCTGTACTCCCTCCCTCCCTCCCTCCCTCCGTACTCCCTCCCTCCCTTCCTCCCTCTGTACTCCCTCCCTCCCTCCCTCCCTCCGTACTCCCTCCCTCCCTCCGTCCCGCTGTACTCCCTCCCTCCCTCCCTCCGTACTCCCTCCTCCCTTCCTCCCTCTGTACTCCCTCCCTTCCTCCCTCTTACCTCCCTCCCTCTGTACCCCTCCCCCTCTGTACTCCCTCCCTCCCTCCCTCTGTACTCCCTCCCTCCCTCTGTAACTCCTCCCTCCCTCCCCTCTGTACTCCCTCCCTCCCTCCCTCCCTCCCCCGTACTCCCTCCCTCCCTCCCTCCCATCCCTCCGTACCTCCCTTCCTCCCTCCCTCCCTCCCTCCCTCCTTCCTTCCCTTCCGTACCTCCCTCCCCTCCCTCCCCTCCGTACTCCCATCCAATACCATCCCTCCCTACCTTACTCCCTTTCCTCCGTACTACCCCGTTCCTCACTCCCTCCGTACTCTCCCTTCCTTCCGTACTCCCTTCCTCCTCCCTCCCTACCGTACTCCCTTCCTACCGTACTCCCTTCCTCCCGTACATCCCTTCCTCCGTACTCCCTCCCCTCCGTACTCCCTTCCTCCCTCCCTCGTACCTCCCTTCCTCCGTACTCCCTTCCTCCCTCCCCTCCGTACTCCCTTCCTCCTCCAGTACTCCCTCCCTCCGTAACTCCCTTCCATCCCTTCCCTCCGTACTCCCTTCCTCCGTCTCCCTTCCTCCCTCCCTCCGTACTCCCTCCCTCCGTACTCCCTTCCTCCGTACTCCCTCCCTCCGTACTCCCTTCCTCCCTCCCTCCGTACTCCCTCCCTCCGTACTCCCTTCCTCCCTCCCTCCGTACTCCCTCCCTCCGTACTCCCTTCCTCCGTACTCCCTTCCTCCTCCCTCCGTACTCCCTTCCTCCCTCGTACTACCCTTCCTCCGTACTCCCTCCTCAGTACTCCCTTCCTCCCTCCCTCCCCTCCGTACTCCCTTCCTCCCTCCCTCCGTACCGCTGTACTCCCTCTCTCCTTCCGTCCCGCTGTACTCCCTTCCTCCCGCTGTACTCCTTTCCTCCGTCCCTCCCTCCGTCCCTCCCTCCCTCCCTCCCTCCCTCCCTCCCTCCGTCCCGCTGTACTCCTTTTCTCCCTCCCTCCGTCCCGCTGTACTCCTTTTCTCCCTCCCCAATCCACTTCCTCTGTTATTTCTCTCACCCTCTTCCAGCCTGTTAAATCTGGAATTTGTGAACGCTGACACCCCAGAGACTCCACCACTCTCACCTTGTCCTCCAGAGCTGCTCCCAGATTTGTGCTGCCGTGCTGGTTGCTAGCGCCATTCAGCAGCTCTCTCCTCCGCTCCATCTCTCTTTCCCTCTCGCGCTCCCTCTCTCTCTGGCTGGTGTGTTTGGTCTTGCACGGCCGCTTGCCCTTGGGTTTGTCCATGTCACCATGACGACGGGGCTTGAGAGAGGTGGTGTCTCCGGTGGGGGGCTCGGGGGCAGAGGAGGGGGGGCACTGACCCACAGTCTTCACCCCCACCACTCCTCTCCTGGGCTCCTTAGATCCCCGGTCACAGCCTGGTCCCATCAAGGGCCCCTTGGGGGCCGATCTGTCCCTCTGCTGGGTCAAAGGGAGTAATCCAACTACAGGACAGAGACAGAGGGGGAGAGAAATAATGCAAGGTTAGAGAGACAGAGAGCGAGACACAGAGACAGAAAGAGAGGGCCTGAAGGTTAGGGGTGCGGAGGTAAAGCTCTACTAGCTCTCTGTGTGCCGATTTATTAATGAGGATGAACATCTGTCTGGGAGGCATACACATATGCGCAAGCACACACACATTTTGCAACAGACTAAACGTTTTCCACTGCGTAATGAATACACCCCAGGTAATACCCTTTCTTACTCTCCTTCTTTAATCCCTCTCTCTTTCTTAGTCTATTCATCTCTCACTTTTTCTCAGCTATGGTGTGAGCACAGGGAAAGCCCTAGTTTAACAATCTCTATCTTTCGCTCTGTTTCTCACCGTTTCTCTCTCACTCTCTATTTGACTGGCCCCGAGGGGAAACAGTAATTCATCACACGTTAGTCACATTACACCTGCCCCCATATTTCTAATAGGCATGCGCACGTGCTCTCACTCACACACACACTCTCCTCACGCTAGGCACACTACTCGTAATACTATATTTTCTCCATAGCTCTTCAACCCGGAGAGAGAGAATGTGCATCCACACCCCAGAGGCATATGATTCTAACCCCTGAGAGAAAGAGACTTAACCACAGGGACAGCCTCTCTAACACTCTAAACACCCTAAAGAGACCTCCACAGGCACCCTGGACCGAGCAGGAAGTGTCCTCCTACATCCCTTCATGTCCCTGAACCCTGGCAGGATGACCACACCGCTAACGTAGAGAGGAAGTGACACCACAAAGCACATGGATATTGAAGGCTAAACCATAAAGAGCATAGATTCACTTCTGTGGCTTCAACACCACCACCAGAGAGGAGATGTTGAGGAGATGCAAAGGGTACAGAAAAAGAAACGGGACATCTTATCACAAAGTACAAGATTGCTCCATACTGTACACAGCAGCAGTAAAAGCCTACTATCACTGGCGACTTGGCAACAGAACAACCTCATAGAGAGAATCACAATCAGACAGACTGACTACAACACTCAGTGTACTTACCTCGTTTAGCGTCTCCGTTAGCCAGCATCTCTCTGGCCCAGCTCTTCGTGATCTCTGGCTTCTGTGGCAGAGGTTTCACTTCCGGGTCGACCTTGAACTTCCTGTCCCGCGGGGGTGGGGCTTGGGCTGGGGTACAGGTTGGGGGGAGGGGCCGGGGCAGGGAGGAAGGGCTATGATGTGATGACCTCTCCTCTTTGACCTCTGGTCTCTCAGGGGAGTGGGCGGTGGGTTTGCGGAGGACAGAGCCCCTTCAGCTCAATACACACTTTAAGCTTCCTCACCTCTTCATCATCACCATTAGTAGTAGGAGCCGCAGGCAGCACACAGACATCTGAAGAGCCAGAAAGTGGAGGTTAGTGGAGAATGAAAAAAGGACACATGCAGACACAGAAATGCAACATAAACAGACACACATAGTGCCCACTCTCTCTCAAGCTGATGAGTTTAAAGCCTCACTTTAAGCATAGCCTGTGTGTGTGTGAGTGTGGCGTGTGTGTGTAAAGTGAGAGAGAGAGAGGTTGGAAAAGAGAGAAAAGGGGGAGAGGAAAAATAGTGTTTTCCCCAAATGCACCAGGGAGGACTATCCCTCTCGCCTGCCAGCACTGGGAGAGCGAGCGCAATACCACATGCCAAAAGAAAAGGGGGAAAAGAACAGAAACCCAAACAGACGAGGGAAGAAAGAAAGGAGATGAAAAGAGAAGGAAAGAGCAGCTCTGAAGATTCCTTGGGTGAGTGGGTAAGCAAAGGAGAGGGGAGTCCAGAAATCCACCTACCAGAGAGGAGCAAACACAGCAAAAAATGAACGAACCAAAACAAAGAAAGGAAGGATGAAAAGCCAAGCCTGGGGGAGGTGAAAGGATGGAAAGAAAAGAGAAGTAGTGTATCCCCAAGACAGGAGAATACACCTCGCCCCATAGCACAGGAGAGGGGATGACAGCCAAGAAGGGGGAAAAAGAAACAAGGGACTGAGGCACAAGGAAGAGAAAGGAGAGAGAGAAGTGAAAGAGCGCTTGACAGAGGGTAAGAAGAGAGAACAGCGACTGTACAGAATAGGAAGAGATGACATCTTGCACAAACGGATTGAACATCTAAGGTTACTCAGGCCAGAGACGTGGGGGGGACAGAGAGATGGGTAGTGAGGAGGGAGCAGAAAAAGAGAGAGGGGGGTGTGGGAAGCTGCAGAGATGAGAGTTTTAAAGAGGAGAGAGAGAGCGGGAGAAGGAAGACAGAGAAGGGAGGTTGGAATAAAGGAGAGAGCAGAAGAGAGAGGAGTGAAAAGGAGGGACCAAGAGAGAGAGAAGGGGTGATGAAAGGACGGGACAGAGAGAGAGGGGTGAAAGAGAAAAGGAGGGAGCAGGAGAGAGAGGGTGAAAAGAGGAGGGACGAGAGAGAGGGGAAAAGGGGACAAGAAGAGGGGTGAAAAGGAGGGAGAGAGAGAGAGGGTGTGAAAGGAAGGAAGAGAGGAGAGGGGGTGAAAAGGAGGGACAGAGAGAGAGAGGGTTGATAAAAGGAGGAGCAGCAGAGGGGAGAGGACAGAGAGAGGGTTAGAAAAGGAGGGGACAGAGAGAAGAGGAGAGAGAAGGGGAAGACAGTAGAGGGGTGAAAAGGAGAGAGAAGAGAGGGGGTGAAAAAGGAGGAAGAGAGAGAGGGGGAAATGGATGAGTGAAAGAGGAGGGGACAGGAAGAGAGAGGGGTGAAAAGGAGAGGACAGAGAGAGAGGGGTGAAAAGGAGGGAAGAGAGAGAGGGTGAAAAGGAGGACAGAGGAGAGGGTAAAGAGAGGGAGAAGGGTGTAAAAGGAGGGAAGAGAGAGAGGGGTGAAAAGGAGGGACAGAGAGAGAGGGGTGAAAAGGAGGGACAGAGAGAGAGGGGTGTGAAAAGGAGGGACAGAGAGAGAGAGAGAGGGGGGAAAAGGAGGAGAAGGAGGACAGAGAGAGAGGGTTGAAAAGGAGAAGAGAGAGAGGGGTGAAAAGGAGAGAGAAGAGAGAGAGGGGTGAAAAGGAGGACAGAGAGAGAGGGGTGAAAAGGAGAGGAGAGAGAGAGGGGTGAAAAGGAGGGACAGAGAGAGAGGGGTAAGAGGAAAGAGGAGGAGGGGACAGGGAGAGAGAGAGGGTGAAAAGGAGGGAAGAGAGAGAGAGGGGGGAAAAGGAGGGACAGAGAGAGAGGGGTGAAAAGGAGGGACAGAGAGAGAGGGGTGAAAAGGAGGGAGAGAGAGAGGGGTGAAAGGAGGGACAGAGAGAAGAGAGGGGTGAAAGGAGGGACAGAGAGAGGGTGAAAGGAGGGACAGAGAGAGGGGTGAAAGAGAGGGGGGTGAAAGGAGGCAGAGAGAGGGGTGAAAGAGAGGGACGAGAGAGAGAGGGGTGAAAGAGGACAGAGGAGGGGGAAAGAGAGGAGAGGGAGTGGTGAAAGGAGGGACAGAGAGAGAGAGGGGGGTGAAGGGAAGAGAGAGGAAGGGGTGAAAGGAGAGGGGGTGAAAAGGAGGGACGAGAGAGAGAGAGGGGTGAAAAGGAGGGACAGAGAGAGAGAGGGGTGAAAAGGAGGGACAGGGGTGAAAGGAGGGACAGAGAGAGAGAGAGGGGGGTGAAAGGAGGGACAGAGAGAGAGGGGTGAAAGAGGAGAGGAGAGGGTGAAAAGGAGGGACAGAGAGAGAGGGGGGTGAAAGGAGGGACAGAGAGAGAGAGGGGTGAAAAGGAGGGACAGAGAGAGAGGGGGGTGAAAGGAGGGACAGGGGTGAAAGGAGGGACAGAGAGAAACAGGGATGGGAATGAGACAGCTGAGAGAGAAAGGGTGAGATGGACAGAAAAGTCTAAGAGGATTTTTGTAACGGGTCGATAAGAGAAAATGACATCTCCCACACTCACCTGAAGTAATCCTCTTCCCTCCCTCCTCCTCATCTTTCTCCTGTAGGCTGTGTGCGCGTTTGATAGCGGGTACCGTGCTCTGCCCACCCTTCTCCTTGGGGTGCCCGTCTGCCAGTGCCAAGATGGAGGGTGGACATCGCCCACCCTCGCCCACTCTGGCACCATCTCTAGCCCCCTCCCAGGCCTCCTGCCCTGGGGACAGGCTCTCCCTTTGGCCCCCACACCTCTGGAGGACTGGGACTCTGTTGTTCCCATAGACTTTTCTTCCACCTAGACCAGGGAGGAAGAGCGAGAGGAGAGGAGGAAAGGGGAGGAAGCGGAGGAGAAAGAAGCAACGGAGAGAGAGGGGTGATAGGAGAGAGAAAGAGAGGAAAAGAGAGAGTAAGAAAGAGAGCGAGTAAGAAAAAGAACGACATGCTGTAAAACTTTGATGGGATGGGGTAAAGAGTTTTAAATCAGATGTCAGTGGATGGGGTAAAGAGTTTTAAATCAGATGTTCCGTGGCTGGGGTAAAGAGTTTTAAATCAGATGTTCAGTGGATGGGGTAAAGGAGTTTTAAATCAGATGTCAGTGGATTGGGTAAGAGTTTTAAATCAGATGTCAGTGGTTGGTAAAGAGTTTTAAATCAGATGTCGTGGAAGGGGAAGAGTTTTAAATCAGATGTCAGTGGATGGGGTAAATAGTTTTAAATCAGATGTCAGTGGATTGGGTAAAAGAGTTTTAAATCAGATGTCAGTGGATGGGGTTAAAGAGTTTTAAATCAGATGTCACGTGGATTGGGTAAAGAGTTTTAAATCAGATGTCAGTGATGGGGTAAAGGAGTTTTAAATCAGATGTCAGTGGATGGGGTAAAGAGTTTTAAATCAGATGTCAGTGGATGGGGTAAAGAGTTTTAAATCAGATGTCAGTGGATGGGGTAAAGAGTTTTAAATCAGATGTCAGTGGATGGGGTAAAGAGTTTTAAATCAGATGTCAGTGGATGGGGTAAAGAGTTTTAAATCAGATGTCAGTGGATGGGGTAAAGAGTTTTTAATCAGATGTCAGTGGAGCCAAGAAACTAACAGTTCACATTGACACTCCTACTATGAGAAACAGGGAGGTAGAGAGAGAGTGAGAGAGAGAGCAAGAGGAAGCGAGGAAAATGTTGTTTTAGGACGAAAACCCTCCCATCTCGCCCCTCTCCTCCCCCATCCACCCCCTGGCGTGACCCTGCCACACAGAGCGTGACTCTCTTTCTCTGCCTCATTCTGTCTCTCTTTCTCTCCCTCTGTTCCTTGCTCTCTCTCTGCCATAATTAGGCTCCCACGTCAGTCCAGGCCTCGCTCTACTACACAGCTGGGCTCCCCGCCAATACAAGTAGCCCCCCTCCCCCTCTTTCCCTCCCTCTCCTTTTCTGGCACACTATTCCTCTCTCTCTCTCATCCACTTTCACTCACTAACTTTACTTCTCCCCCTCTCTGTAATTCGCTTTCGATTTCCCCCTCCTCCTCTCCTCTCTCTTTATCCTCTTTCCACAGAGATAAGCACAAAACACTCCTTGAAAATAAGACTCTCTCCCCACGTCTCTCTCTCGCTCTCTCTCATTGTGTGTGTATGTGTTGTGACCAAACCCTGCCTAGCTGTGTGTGTGTGTGTGTGTGTGTGTGTGTGTGTGTGTATGAAAGCGCGTGTGTGCGAACTTGTGTGTGTGTGTATGCATTGGGTTACTCACCCTCCCTCTCTCCCTGCCTGGCGGTGTGTTGGCAGTGTTCCCACTCTCTCTCTCTCCGCTGGCCATCTGCCAACTCCTGTCCTGCTACTGCTGCCGACGCAGACACACACACACCCCCGCACTCCTTCCCCTTCAGCTCCAGCTCCGAGAACCGCATCATCGCCCGCTACACACACAAATACAGACAGACAGACAGACAGGACACACACGGAGACACATGCACACAGAGAAAACAGCCATGAAACCCACTACCTTTCTAGCCCGCGCCGCACACACACCTCTCTAAACCTCAGTCTGGGCTGAACGGCTACAGAAGCAAACATCGCATCAGGAAATCACAGTGTCAATAAAAGGAGGCCAAAACAGGACAGGACAAAGAGATAGAGATAAATGAACAAGCATGACACATCCAGACACGGTTAGGTTAGACTAGTGCAGTCAGCCACAGTGAGTCCTAGTTCATGCCATCTCCCTTCCTGAAACATGAACACAGCTAGGAAACACATACAGCTAGCCCTGAGGCTCACAGAGAGAGAAAGAGAGGGGGAGAGAGAGAAAAAAGAGGGAGAAGGAGATATAGGGAGAGAAAAACTGAGAAAAGGGAAGAAGCAATGCAAAGCAAGTGATAAAATACAGAAAGTGTGTAGAGTGCAGAGAAAAATAAAGAGGGAGGGAAAGAGGGAGAGAAAGAGGGAGAGAAAGAGAAAGCCTGTCTGAGGGGTAGTATGTGATAAAGAAATGTAAATAACTGACCTCCCAGTTAGCTGCAGGTTGAGTTATATTACTCCTCTCTCGTGATATGACTTCCATCTAAGCAATTAGAACGGGGGGGGGGGGCTCAATATATCTGTCCATTGCATATTCTATCCTTTCCATATTCTGTCCATCATTTCCATCATTTTATATTCTGTTCATTATTTTTATCATTTCAATATATCTGTTCATTATTTAATATCTGCCCATCATTTTAGTCAGTATATCTGTCTAGCATTTCATGTAGGTATTGTATGTTAAAATGTCTTTCTCCACATATCTTTACACCTCCCTTTCTCAACTCCGGTCCTCAGGGTCTGCAGCACTGCTAGTTTTTGTTCTTCCCCTCTAATCAAGGTTTGACCAATCAGTAACATCAATCAACCAACCAACCTATTAACTACAAGGAGAAAGGAAACCCAGCAGTAGTGCAGACCTGGAGGAGGAGTACCCCTGTTATACACAAACATCATCTAGCAGCCATAGTCCCACCAAGCACACACACAGTCAAACCAGCCATAGTCCCACCAAGCACACACACAGTCAAACCAAACCAGGGAATCGGTCAATAAACACAACTACAAAACTATCAAACCCTTGTTTTCTGAACTGGGGGGGGGGGGGGGGGGGGGGGGGGTGATTGTGGGTATATAATTTATCATAAATTAGTTAGACAGAGGCTCTTATTAAGATGATAGTAAACGTCCAGAAATCTAGCATTTGATAGCTTTGTATCAGCAAGCATGACAATTAAAGACAAACCAACATGGTTTAGAGGTGCCCTCACAACATATGGACGGGTGGAACCAACCGGTTAACACACATGTGCCTCTGTCCCATTCATTCATATACATCATAAGAGGTGTGTGTGTGTGTGTGTGTCTACGCCAGAAATCGTATACACACACGTGTTTTTTTATCTAATCTAACCAGAACCAGGATGTTGGTCTATAACAAGTAGAAAAGTAGATTCAGTCTGATCACTCAATAATGCACCGCAGTTCAATCGTGCAGGACTGAATCTGTGTTTGTTTATAGTATGTCTGTGTGTGTGTATGTGTGTGTGTGTGTGTGTGTCAGGGTTTCCGTTAGGAAAATGTGTTGCAGGACATTTGACAGGCAACATTTTAAATTTACCGGACATTTGAGGAATTTACCGGACCCATATGCATTGGGTGCGTAACCCGATTAGGGCTTCTACCCACGGTGCTCAGAATGACAGAAATCACATTTAGAATATGGTAATTCATATTAACAGAACATGCAAGTCGAGGATGCAACGATGTGCGGTCCTTCTTACCCGAATTCTGATGTGCCCTTTGAACATGTTAAAATAACTGTCCACATGTACTTTTCCTCAGCCAACAAGACCAGTAACGAACAGCAAAATCACTAGCCTATGTCAATCTACTATAGTAGAAACATTAAGGCTTCCTATTCTATTGGTCAGCTTGTCGAGAAATAAATAGCTCATTCCAATCCGACTCTGGGACAGTTGTGGGAAGATGGATCCCAAATCCATCCAACCAGTAGGCCTAGGCTACATAAAGATCAGAATGTTTAGCTTAAAATGTTAAACTATTAGGCTACTTCTTCACGTTATAGCCACAGCAATGCACACAAGGCAGTAGGCTACTCGCAAATGTTTGTTCCATAATGCAATTAGTGGGAAAACACTGTTGTCAAAAGGACACTGCACATGCGAGAGGTTTCATGTGACAGAGATGAAAATATCAGTTCGAAAAAAAGAACACAAAATGAGAATAGGCTACTTTGAAGCAAGGTAAGACATGCCTCATAATATATGTTTTAAAACGTTCAGGTTTCAAACAATTAAGTACATGTTTTCGAAACTGCCTCCAGCTCATAGCAAAAGTGGTGTGTGATGCGCTGATGAAGCCTGCCTTCCGTCTTCAGTGCGTTCAAGACAACTGGGGAAAAATCGTTTTGAACAGTCATCCAACTCGGGAACTCGGGCCTCTTTCTAGAGCTCCAACTTTCCGACCTGAAGAACACTGACCTCATGATTTGACCTTGTATTTTTCTGAATTCCCAGTTGTCTTGAAAGCACCACAAGATGCTGCAGCAGCAGCTCTCCCGCTGTCTGGCAGATTTTCCACTCAAAGGCTCTGTATCCTGTACGCGTGTGATAAATAAGATACATAACAAATATACTGTGTGCACACGCCAATTTAATTCCACTAAATTATGCAAATTAACATATAGACCTAGAAGCATGACCAGCCAAATGTATTTCCATCGACTTGTATTTCCATCCATGAATAGGCTAAAAAGCATTATTTTACAATGGGATTTTTTCCTCTTCTCCCGGACAATTGGCCTGCATCAATTTTATTTATCGGCTTTTCTATTTTATTTTTTGGGGACAAAGGCCGGCTATTACAAGCTAATGGAAACCCTGGTGTGTGCGTGTCTTAAATGTGTTCAGTGTGTGTGTTTGTGCATGTGTGAGGAGCCAGGCACTAATAGCCTTGGGGGAAGGGGTGTGTGACCTTGGATAAGGCCGGGGTGGGTGGAGGGGAACCCCATCCATCCACCCTCCAGACCCTCTGGCTCCCCTTGGGGTTAAGCACAGTCAGAGGCAGGGGGAACCATGAGGCCCTACCGCTCAGCAGCCAGCAACACATGCTTTTGCAAACTTTTGCAACCTCCCTTTCTATTTCACCATCTCCCCCCTCACTCTCATTCTCTTTCTCCCGAGGTAGATACACAGAGAACACAAACCACCTAACCAATGTTGCCTAGACAACTCACAGGCCTAGGTTAACCTTTGAACTGGCCTTGTACTAACTCACTGACCGTCAACATCCTTCAAATGTCCTCTCATAAACTCAGAGGCAACACAAAGGGCTGGTATAAGCCTATAACCCTGGACTAACCCTCACCCTACAAGTTCAGCTATGGGGAGCAGATATCTGATCCATAGACTGATTCTAAGACACATCCTATATGAAGTCATATCCTGTCTGAATAATGTGAAAGTCTCTATGGGCCCGCTAGAATAAGTGGCAGAATTGACCATAGTTGTAGGTTTGATTCCTGCACAGGTCATATGGGAACGTACCATATAAAACTGTAAATGGCTTCAGATGAATGAGTCATGTTATCATCACATCCACTGACGCTGCCCCCCAACCCAACCCAACTACATCCGCATTTCTCTCAACTCACTTGCAGGGCGCGCTGTTCCCGGCTCAGCTTGCTAGAGTCTGCGTACAGCTCGGTGGTGACACATTTGATGCGGTCGCCCACATAGCCTGAGGAGCTAGCAATCCTCTTGGTAAGGCTGGTCCTCCGTGAGCCTCTTCGCCCACCCTCTTCATCCTCATCCCCCTCTCCATGTGACTCCTCTGTGTCTCCAACGCTCCCTCCTTCTCTTTCACTGTCTCTCTCCTTCCCCAGGTCCATGTAGCGATGGATGGGGTGGGAGAAGGTTAGTCTGTCCATCTTTTCTCTCTCCTCTCCAGACGTGCGGTCGCAAAAAAATGTGCGATCTCTAGACATGTGGTCGCCAGACTTGCGGTCACAATCCCCAGTTGTATGGTTGCCAGAGATGCGGTCGCCAGACTTGCGGTCGCCAGACGTTCGGGCACAGCGCAGGGTGCTCTGGTCCTGTTCCCCTTGGTCCCCTGGGTCTGAGGAAGGACTCTGGTCCTCAGGACTCTCCTCAGCCCGATTAACAAGCTCTGCGGAGCCCTGAGGTGGGCTAGAGGCCACACCTGTACAGCCCGTTTCCTGGAGGGGCCTGGGTCTCATACAGAGGGTCTCTAGTTGTCTGTCTGTGTGGATAGTTCTCAGGGTGGAGCTTGGGCTGGGGTGGTGGTGATGATGAAGTTGGTATTTTGGCTCCTGTTCCACTTCCCTAATGTTTTGGTTGCCATGGCAACAGTTGTGTTGGTTGCCCCTGGCGATGGGGACGGTAACGGAGACTTGCGGCTTGTTGGTGGACGGAGTAGACTCTCCATCTGTGTCGGAGTGGACGAGGTCAATGCAGACGATACGGTCTTTGGAGGGGGTACTGGTGCTGGAGGAGGAAGTGGGTCTGGGCTGGCTCCCGCCCCGCTCCCCTGCCTCGCTTTTGGGCTTCACATGGGAATCCTCTCCTGTCTCCACACCACTTCGGCCCCTGCGGGACCCACCACAATCCTCCGTGAGACCTCTAGGTTTGTCCTGACCCTGGCCCCGGCACTTGGGCCCCCGCTCCAGGACTTTGGAGTCTGGATGTGCGTGCATCAGAGGGTGGACCATCTCCCGGGAGTTGTAGGTGAGGTACTCCCCAGCATGGCTGTGGTAGGGTAAGGGGTGTTTGGCTGCCAGGTGGGAGGGGTACAGGCTGCTGTTGCCCAGCAGGATGGGGTGAGGGTAGGCTGGGCCCTTCCCTGGCAGAGGGAGAGAATGGAGGGCCATGCTGTCAGATACAGAGTAGTGCAGGTATCGGTTGGCGTAGGCCATGCTGTGAGCTAGGTAAAGGTGGCTGGGCGTGTGCCCATTGATATTCTCCAGACAAGGACGTTTATTATACAGAGACACCTCCTGGGACGTCTCAGCCCTCTTGGGGGCTTTGGGGGGCTTCTCTGTGGAGCTCCTATGATGGCCGGCCATGGGGGAATCTTCTGAATGGCTGGGGCTGTGTTTGGGCCAATCACCATTGGGTTTGGGGGACGGGGGCATTGTGGAGGCAGGATTGTGATTGGAAGGTATTGGGGTAGTATGCGGCTCTCCTACCCTGGGGCAGGATGGGCTGCTTTGCTGGGACTGGGGCAGGACTCTCTCCAGAACCTTGTGTTTGATGACAGAGGGAGAGAAGCCTTTCCCTTGGGGGGCTGGGCTGGGCCTGGGGGAGGGGGATAGGGCTGGGGGGTGGGGGGGGGTGTGGGTGTGGGTGGACCCAATGGTGGAGATGGGTGTAGAGATGGGTGTAGGGGTGGGCACCACCCAGGAGGAGTGCAAAGTGCTGATCATCTCTGGCCTGTCTGGGGCCTTGGAGAAAGTGCTGTTGACCACTGAGTGGGAGTGGGAGGGGTGGGAGGAGGGTAAGAGGGTCTCCTTCAGGAGCTCCCGGCTGGGGTGATGTCCATACCGAGGCCCCGGAGACCCCAGAGCCTCTATCTTGATGGGGAAGGTGTTGGGAGGCAGGCCGAACTCCAGCAGCCTTCCAGAGAGGTCCAGAGGCTTTGGGCCTGCTGGGTCTTTGGTAGTCTTGTTCGGTGGGGTTGGCCGCTCAGAGGACGGTTTGGAAGGGGACTGATTGGGTTTCCTCTCACACCCCCCAGCCCTGTGCTCCGACGCCCCATCCCTGGGGCTGGATTTGTGGGGGCTGTGTCGGGCGGGGGAGTGATGCTCTTGAGCCATGCTGCTCACATAAAATGGGTGAGGCATCGACTGGGAAGAGGAGGAAGATAAGGAGGAGGAAGATGGTGGCCCTATTCGAGGGACTGGCCTCTGTAGGTCTAAGGTGCTGTCGCTGAGAGGGGGAGGCAGGGGGGGAGCAGCCTGGGGGAGGCGAGAGGAGGTGCCAGGGGAAGAATCAATGGGAAGGCTACTACTACCACCACTACTACCAATACTACCACTGCTGGTGCTGGCTCCTTTGTTTGAGGTGGATCTAGTGGGCTTACTGCTCCTGCTGGGGGGTCTGTCTCGGTCTCTGTTTGTGTGGGGGGGCTGAAGGTGCTGGGGTGGAGGGGGAGGCTGGTGAAGCTGCTGCCCAAACGGAGAGCCCTCGTGGTGGATGCGAGACCCGACACTCAGCCCCTTCTCCTGGCAGTGCACCATGGAGGTGGGGGCCACAGACACCGCTGGGATCCTCATGGGAGACCCCACCAGGGGGGACGAGATCGGGGACGGGGGGTAGGGGGGCATGAAGTAGAGCCTCTCGGAGGCCGAGGCAGCAGCAGGGTTCATGTTCCCCCCCTGGGAGGCACAGAGAGACTGGTAGGCCAGGTGCTGTGGCAGGTAGGGGCTGGGCTGACTGAGGAACTGAGCCTTGTACATGCTGAGGGCGGCGTACTTGGAGGAGTCCATGAAGGGGTAGAGGCCCGCTTCGGGGTACAGCCCCGGGCTCAGCCCCCAGGGCAGACGCAGGTACCCGCCTGCTGCTGCACCAGCATCCCCGAGGCCCAGCTCTGAGGGCTTCTCCCCCCCAGGCCCCACACCTATCCTGTCCAGTCCCAGGCCCTCTGGCCCCCTCTGGAGGCCTGGTGGAGGGCTCTTGTACAGGCCCAGGTAGCTGTTAGTGGGCTTGCTCCTGTCCATGGAGACATCAGGTTTATAGAGGAGGTCCGGGAGGCCGTCTCGGCCGTAGCTCAGGGGGAGGGTATTGGTCCCGTCGCGGGGCTTCTCAGCCGACAGTGCTTGTATCCCTGGGTAGATCACGCCGCCGTGCAGGCGGAGGCCATCCCGCATAAGAGCGTTGCGGTCCAGACCCATGGCGGCCAGGGGAGTTAACCTGGCATCCACCTACAGGGGGAATAACACAGGTTAAAATCTGTTATAAATATTGTTATAAACAATATTATACACATGTAATACACAATGTATAAACCTCTAACTTGTTATGAACAGCCTTATACACATGTAATACACATCACTAAGCTAAGGATCCTGGGACTAAACACCTCCCTCTGCAACTGGATCCTGGACTTCCGGACGGGACGCCCACAGGTGGAAAGGGTAGGCAACAACACATCTGCCACGCTGATCCTCAACACGAGGGCCCCTCAGGGGTGCGTGCTAAGTACCCTCCTGTACTCCCTGTTCACCCACGACTGCGTGGCCAAGCATGACTCCAACACCATCATGAAATTTGCTGACGACACAACAGTGGTAGGCCTGATCACCGACAACGATGACACAGCCTATAGGGAGGTCGTCAGAGACCTGGCAGTGTGCTGCCAGGACAACAACCTCTCCCTCAACGTGAGCAAGACAAAGGAGATGATCGTGGACTACAGGAAAAGGAGGGCCGAACATGCCCCCATTCACATCGACGAGGCTGTAGTGGAGCGGGTCGAGAGTTTCAAGTTCCTTGGTGTCCACATCACCAACAAACTATCATGGTCCAAACACACCAAGACAGTCGTGAAGAGGGCACGACAAAACCTATTCCCCCTCAGGAGACTGAAAAGATTTGGCATGGGTCCCCAGATCCTCAAAAAGTTATACAGCTACACCATCGAGAGCATCCTGACCGGTTGCATCACCGCCTGGTATAGCAACTGCTCGGCATCCGTCCATTAGGCGCTACAGAGGGTAGTGCGTACGGCCCAGTACATCACTGGGGCCAAGCTTCCTGCCATCCAGGACCTACAGTTGAAGTCGGAAGTTTACATACACTTAGGTTGGAGTCATTAAAATTAGTTTTTCAACCACTCCACACATTTCTTGTTAACAAACTATAGTTTTGGCAAGTCGGTTAGGACATCTACTTTGTGCATGACACAAGTCATTTTTCCAACAACTGTTTACAGACAGATTATTTCACTTATAATTCACTGTATCACAATTCCAGTGGGTCAGAAGTGTTTTTTTTTTGTATATCTTTTTATTTATTTATTTTTTATGCAGGGAAGAGGCAGGTGGGGAAGAAACGGGTGGTGGCCGGTGCTGAACTGGTGCTGGACGTTGAGACCAAGACCCAGAGAGTCATCCTCAAGAAGCAGGTACAACCATTATATCAAATACACCCTAGAACGTACCAGTATGTATGCATGAAATGTCATCTACTCCACACATTGAGTATGACAGGGGCAGAACTCTCCATTTGGGTTCATTGATCATTCAGTAGTGGAGTGACAACTTGAAAGCCATGAATAACGAGGCCTCGAGACAGTTTGCTGACTATTTTTCCAAACTTTTAAGCTTAACATTGCAGATAGATTGTACAGTGGGGGAAAAAAGTATTTAGTCAGCCACCAATTGTGCAAGTTCTCCCACTTAAAAAGATGAGAGAGGCCTGTAATTTTCATCATAGGTACACGTCAACTATGACAGACAAAATGAGAAAAAAATATCCAGAAAATCACATTGTAGGATTTTTTATGAATTTATTTGCAAATTATGGTGGAAAATAAGTATTTGGTCATTAACAAAAGTTTCTCAATACTTGGTTATATAACCTTTGTTGGCAATGACACAGGTCAAACGTTTTCTGTAAGTCTTCACAAGGTTTTCACACACTGTTGCTGGTATTTTGGCCCATTCCTCCATGCAGATCTCCTCTAGAGCAGTGATGTTTTGGGGCTGTCGCTGGGCAACACAGACTTTCAACTCCCTCCAAAGATTTTCTATGGGGTTGAGATCTGGAGACTGGCTAGGCCACGTCAACTATGACAGACAAATTGAGAATTTTTTTCTCCAGAAAATCACATTGTAGGATTTTTAATGAATTTATTTGCAAATTATGGTGGAAAATAAGTATTTGGTCACCTACAAACAAGCAAGATTTCTGGCTCTCACAGACCTGTAACTTCTTCTTTAAGAGGCTCCTCTGTCCTCCACTCGTTACCTGTATTAATGGCACCTGTTTGAACTTGTTATCAGTATAAAAGACACCTGTCCACAACCTCAAACAGTCACACTCCAAACTCCACTATGGCCAAGACCAAAGAGCTGTCAAAGGACACCAGAAACAAAATTGTAGACCTGCACCAGGCTGGGAAGACTGAATCTGCAATAGGTAAGCAGCTTGGTTTGAAGAAATAAACTGTGGGAGCAATTATTAGGAAATGGAAGACATACAAGACCACTAATAATCTCCCTCGATCTGGGGCTCCACGCAAGATCTCACCCGTGGGGTCAACAGGAACGGTGAGCAAAAATCCCAGAACCACACGGGGGGACCTAGTGAATGACCTGCAGAGAGCTGGGACCAAAGTAACAAAGCCTACCATCAGTAACACACTACGCCGCCAGGGACTCAAATCCTGCAGTACAAGACATGTCCCCCTGCTTAAGCCAGTACATGTCCAGGCCCGTCTGAAGTTTGCTAGAGTGCATTTGGATGATCCAGAAGAGGATTGGGAGAGTGTCATATGGTCAGATGAAACCAAAATATAACTTTTTGGTAAAAACTCAACTCGTTGTGTTTGGAGGACAAAGAATGCTGAGTTGCATCCAAAGAACACCATACCTACTGTGAAGCATGGGGGTGGAAACATCATGCTTTGGGGCTGTTTTTCTGCAAAGGGACCAGGACGACTGATCCGTGTAAAGGAAAGAATGAATGGGGCCATGTATCGTGAGATTTTGAGTGAAAACCTCCTTCCATCAGCAAGGGCATTGAAGATGAAACGTGGCTGGGTCTTTCAGCATGAAAATGATCCCAAACACACCGCCAGGGCAAAGAAGGAGTGGCTTCGTAAGAAGCATTTCAAGGTCCTAAGTGGCCTAGCCAGTCTCCAGATCTCAACCCCATAGAAAATCTTTGGAGGGAGTTGAAAGTCTGTGTTGCCCAGCGACAGCCCCAAAACATCACTGCTCTAGAGGAGATCTGCATGGAGGAATGGGCCAAAATACCAGCAACAGTGTGTGAAAACCTTGTGAAGACTTACAGAAAACGTTTGACCTGTGTCATTGCCAACAAAGGGTATATAACAAAGTATTGAGAAACTTTTGTTATTGACCAAATACTTATTTTCCACCATAATTTGCAAATAAACTCATTAAAAATCCTACAATGTGATTTTCTGGAAAAAAAATTCTCATTTTGTCTGTCATAGTTGACGTGTACCTATGATGAAAATTACAGGCCTCTCTCATCTTTTTAAGTGGGAGAACTTGCACAATTGGTGGCTGACTAAATACTTTTTTCCCCCACTGTGTGTGTGTGTATATATATATATATGGGGTAAACTAGTGAACAACAATGCTTAGGCCTCTACTTCCAGCTTATACTTACTATCTACATTTTATGGACACATTCAATTTTACAATAATTATATCTATTTTTTTTTTTTCTCCTGAACTTGTTCTACTCTCAACCTCTCTGATCATTTTCATGATGTCCATCCGGTTTGTTTCTATATGCCATATCTTTCTAACTGTGCTCTTTCCCAAAAGCTCCCAACATAGAACCTATATACTTATTATGGACACAGTATGCTTACATTATTAGTTATCTTGTTATTATTTTGTTGTTAGTTGTTATTAGTCCCATCCTTCAGCTACATTGAACACCTCCCATCTATCTCTTAACACCATCCATATAGGATTTCTATTTGCCATATATATTTCAACTGTACTGTGATGTTTTACAAAAATTCTGAACCTTTCTATTCTCATTGCTTCTACAGATTGTGAATTAAAAATAAACATTTTTGCTAAAAGTATTATTATATTATTGATTGATTGACTATAACTTTTCAGATCACCCAGTAATGCTATCTGCAGGGTTAGCTCCAGGTAAATATTGCAATTCTTTAGCCATTCCTGGACCTGTGTCCAAAAACAAGCTACAAATGGACAGTACCAAAACAAATGATCTAATGATTCTGTCTCTTCGCAGCAAAATCTGCAGAGCTGGGAAGATTGTATTCCCCATATAAATAACATTCTATTGGTAGCAAGAATTGTATATAATAATTTAAATTGAAAGATTCTAATTTTTGAATCCGGTGTCGTTTTGCGTATCAGTTCATAAACACTATGCCATGGGATCGGTACATCAAAAATCTCTTCCCAACTATTTTGCAATCTATATGGGACGGCTGTCCTTAAATGAAACTGGTATACTTTTTTATTTATCACAGTTTTCCTTAACCAATTATGTTCTTTAATGCAAGGCCGACAGACAAGTTCCTTACTTTCTCCCCCTTCCACTTTCCTCTTCCATTTTTGCGAAAAGGCTGCAATTATTTGGTTGTAATTTTTGGTAGAGCAGACATTTCCATATGTTTTTGTTAGCTGCATGTGCGACATAACTCCACCAGCCCTACCGAAGATATCATTTACGAAGATTATACCTTTTTTAAACATTTTGTCAAAAAAAAAAGTGTGGGTCAGAAGTTTACATACACTAAGTTGACTGTGCCTTTAAACAGCTTGGAAAATTCCAGAAAATGATGTCATGGCTTTAGAAGCTTCTGATATGCTAATTGACATCATTTGAGTAAATTGGAGGTGTACCTGTGGATGTATTTCAAGGCCTACCTTCAAACTCAGTGCCTCTTTGCTTGACATCATGGGAAAATCAAAAGAAATCAGCCAAGACCTCAGATAAAATAATTGTAGACCTCCACAAGTCTGGTTCATCCTTGGGAGCAATTTCCAAACGCCTGAAGGTACCACGTTCATCTGTACAAACAATAGTACACAAGTATAAACACTATGGGACCACGCAGCCGTCATACCACTCAGGAAGGAGATGCGTTCTGTCTCCTAGAGATGAACGTACTTTGGTGCGAGAAGTGCAAATCAATCCCAGAACAACAGCAAAGGACCTTGTGAAAACGAGTCCTATATCGACATAACCTGAAAGCCCGCTCAGCAAGGAAGATGCCACTGCTCCAAAACCACCATAAAAAAGCCAGACTACGGTTTGCAACTGCACATGGGGACAAAGATCGTACTTTTTGGAGAAATGTCCTCCGGTCTGATGAAACAAAAATAGAACTGTTTGGCCATAATGACCATCGTTATGTTTGGAGGAAAAAGGGTATAGCTTGCAAGCCGAAGAACACCATCCCAACCGTGAAGCACGGGGTGGCAGCATCATGCTGTGGGGGTGCTTTGCTGCAGTAGGGACTGGTGCACTTCAGAAAATAGATGGCATCATGAGGAAGGAAAATTATGTGGATATATTGAAGCAACATCTCGAGACATCAGTCAGGAAGTTAAAGCTTGGTCGCAAATGGGTCTTCCAAATGGACAATGACCCCAAGTTGTGGCAAAATGGCTTAAGGACAACAAAGTCAAGGTATTGGAGTGGCCATCACAAAGCCCTGACCTCAATCCTATAGAACATTTGTGGGCAGAACTGAAAAAGTGTGTGCAAGCAAGGAGGCCTACAAACCTGACTCAGTTACACCAGCTCTGTCAGGAGGAATGGGCCAAAATTCACCCAACTTATTGTGGGAAGCTTGTGGAGGGCTACCCGAAACGTTTGACCCAATTAAACAATTTAAAGGCAATGCTACCAAATACTAATTGAGTGTATGTAAACTTCTGACCCACTGGGAATGTGAGGATATGGTTTACGTCTCTTAAAGGCCCAATGCAGCCATTTTATCTCAATATCAAATCATTTCAGGGTAACAATGAAGTACCTTACTGTCACGAATTCAGCAGAGGCTGCCCCACCTCCTTGCTCGGGCAGGCTTCGGATTTCGTCGTCACCGGAGTACTAGCTGCCACCGATCGATGTTTTCTGTGTTACACTTGTCTTGTCTGTATTGATCACACCTGTTACCTATTATGTTAATTTGTTTCCCTATTTTACCCTCTGGTTCCCTCATGGTGTTGTGCGTGACTGTTCGTCTTTTTGCTGTCTTTTGGTGAGCCGGTATTTGCTCTTCCCTGCGTGGAGGACTTGCTCTGCTTATTTTGTTCCAGTAAATGTTGTTCCATTCATACAGTTCTGTATCCTGCGCCTGATTCCATCCTACCGCTACACCCAGAATCACGCACCATTGTAATGGATTCAGCAGGCACGTCCATTCCTTCAAGCTCAGTGGAGGAACGCATCCAGCAGCACTCGACCATGCTACAAACTTTGGGCACAGCTATGGATCGAGTCCTGAACACTATGGAGCGATGGGACAGAGGAGGTTTCCCAACATCTCCTCTTCCTCCAATTCCACCCATTCTAACACTGGTTCCAGTGGGATTCGGCTCTCGGTCCCGAGGGCATATGATGGAACAGCTGCCGGGTGTCAGGGGTTTCTCTACCTGGCAACCATCCACCCGGCTCCCTCGGGATACGAGAGCGTGTCCGCCCTCATTTCCTGTCTGTCGGGGAAAGCACTCGAGTGGGCCAACGCGGAGTGGGGAGCTATAGATGCGGAGTCTGTGCACTATGAGGATTTTACCCGCCGTTTCCGGGCTGTATTCGATCATCCACCGGAGGGTAGAGTGGCGGGAGAGCGATTGTTCCACCTCAGACAGGGGAAGAGGAGCGCACAGGACTTCGCATTGGACTTCAGAACCTTGGCTGCCAGCGCGGGATGGAATGAGAGGGCCCTGATAGACCACTACCGATGCAGCCTACGGGAGGATGTTCGTCGGGAGCTGGCCTGCAGGGACACCACTCTTAACCTAGAACAGCTGATAGACTTATCTATCCGGCTCGATAACCTGTTGGCCACCAGCGGACGTCCGAATCAGGGTCCGTCCAGTCCATCCCCCAGCACTTCCGAACCTACACCCATGGAGCTTGGAGTTGCTGATGTAAGGGGGACCGGTAAGGGCACTGTTTCCTGCACCAACTGTGGCCGCAGAGGACACACTGCTGGTCGGTGCTGGAAAGGGTCCTCAGGGAGTCGAGGCAGCAGGCAGGGCCCTGGTGGACCATCCCAGGTGAGTAAGCGCCCAACTCACCCAGAGCTCCCTGTTGCTCACATGTGTGTGTGTGTGTGTGTGTAAGATTTCCTGAGTTTTCCCCACATTCCCAGCATAAGGCGCTCGTAGATTCTGGCGCAGCTGGGAATTTTATAGACTGTCTGTTTGCACGTAGATTAGGGATCCCTATTGTGCCTGTTGATGTGCCCTTCCCCATACATGCCTTAGATAGTCGCCCTTTAGGGTCGGGCCTGATTAGGGAGGTTACAGCTCCACTCTGGATGGAAACGCAGGAGGGTCATGAGGAGAGAATCAGTCTCTTCCTGATCGATTCTCCTGCGTTTCCCGTGGTGCTGGGGCTTCCCTGGTTAGCCATTCATGACCCCAATATTTCGTGGCAACAGAGGGCTCTTAAGGGATGGTCACGTCAGTGCTCGGGGAGGTGTGTAGGTGTTTCCTTAGGTGCAACTACGGTGGAGAGTCCAAACCAGGTCTCTACGATGCACATTCCCCCCGAATATGCCGATTTGGCTCTCGCCTTCTGTAAAAGGAAGGCGACTCAATTACCACCCCATTGACAGGGGGATTGTGCGATAAATCTCCGGGAGGGCGCTGCACTTCCTCGGAGTCACATGTATCCTCTGTCAACATATGTCTCCGAATCTCTGGGACAGGGATACATCTGGCACTCCACTTCCCCTGCCTCCTCAAGTTTCTTTTTTGTGAAGAAGAAGGATGGAGGTTTATGCCCGTGCATTGACTATCGAGGTCTCAAATCAGATAACTGTAAAGTACAGTTACCCACTACCTCTCATTGCTAGTGTGACGGAGTCATTGCACGTGGCGCGCTTCTTCACCAAATTGGATCTCAGGAGCGCGTACAATCTGGTGCGTATCTGGGAAGGGGATGAGTGGAAGACGGCATTTAGTACCACCTCTGGGCACTATGAGTACCTCGTAATGCCGTACAGGTTGATGAATGCTCCATCAGTCTTCCAATCCTTTGTCGATGAGATTTTCAGGGACCTGCACGGACAGGGTGTAGTGGTGTATATAGATTATATTCTCATATACTCCGCTACACGAGCCGAGCATGTGTCCCTGGTGCGCAAGGTGCTTGGTCGACTGTTGGAGCACGACCTGTACGTCAAGGCTGAGAAATGTCTGTTCTTCCAACAGTCCGTCTCCTTCTTAGGACACCACCTGTCCGAGTCAGGGGTGGAGATGGAGAATGACCGCATTGCAGCCGTGCGTAATTGGCCGACTCCAACCACGGTTAAGGAGGTGCAGCGATTCTTAGGGTTCTACCGGAGGTTTATCCGGGGCTTCGGTCAGGTAGCGGCTCCCATTACCTCCTTGCTGAAGGGGGGACCGGTGTGCCTGCGGTGGTCAGCGGAGGCGGACAGGGCTTTTGGTCACCTGAAGGCACTGTTCACTTCGGCTCCTGTGCTGGCTCATCCGGATCCCTCCTTGGCATTCATAGTCGAGGTGGACGCGTCCGAGGCTGGGATAGGAGCCGTACTGTCTCAGCGCTCGGGTACGCCCACAAAGCTCCGCCCCTATGCTTTCTTCTCAAAGAAGCTCAGCCCGGCGGAGCAAAACTATGATGTGGGGGACCGGGAGCTGTTAGCTGTTGTGAAGGCTCTAAAGGCATGGAGACATTGGCTTGAGGGGGCAAAAAACCCTTCTCATTTTGACTGACCACCGCAATTTGGAGTACATACGGGCGGCGAGGAGACTGAACCCTCGCCAGGCAAGGTGGGCCATGTTTTTCACGCGTTTTGATTTCACCCTTTCCTACAGACCAGGTTCCCAGAATACTAAGACAGACGCTCTGTCCTGGCTGTATGACACAGAGGAGCGGTCCAGGGAGCCCACTCCCATACTTCCGGCTTCTTGTCTGGTGGAACCGGTGGTATGGGAGGTTGACATCGAGCGGGAATCACGCACGGAGCCCACTCCCCCCCAGTGTCCAGTGGGTCATGTGTACGATCAATTGATCTATTGGGCTCACACGTCACCCTCTTCTGGTCATCCTGGCATCGGTCGGACAGTGCACTGTCTTAGTGGGAAGTACTGGTGGCCTACCTTAGCTCAGGACATGAGGGTTTATGTTTGCTCATGTTCGGTGTGTGCCCAGTGCAAGGCACCTAGACACCTGCCCAGAGGGAAATTACAACCTCTCCCCGTTCCACAACGGCCGTGGTCACACCTATCGGTGGACTTTGTTACGGACCTCCCCCCAAGGGAATAGTACGATCCTAGTCGTTGTGGATCGGTTTTCTAAGTCCTGTCGTCTCATTCCTTTTCCCGGTCTCCCTACAGCCCTACAGACTGCGGAGGCCCTGTTTACACACGTCTTCCAGCACTACAGGGTACCTGAGGATATAGTGTCTGATCGGGGTCCCCAGTTCACGTCAAGGGTCTGGAAGGCGTTCATGGACCATCTGGGGGTCTCGATCAGCCTGACCTCAGGGTTTCACCCCGAGAGTAATGGGCAGGTGGAGAGAGTAAACCAGGATGTGGGTAGGTTTCTGAGGTCATATTGCCAGGACCGGCCGGGGGATTGGTCAGTTTACATCCCCTGGGCAGAGATCGCACAAAATTCCCTCCGCCACACCTCCACTGACCGGTCTCCCTTTCAGTGTGTACTAGGTTATCAGCCGGTCCTGGCACCATGGCATCAGAGCCAGGTCGAGGCACCTGCGGTGGATGAATGGTTTCGGCGCTCGGAGGAGACCTGGAACGCTGCCCATGTACGCCTGCAAAGGGCTATCAGGCGTCAGAAGGCGAGTGCCGACCGCCACCGCAGTGAGGCTGCGGTGTATGGACCGGGGGACCGGGTCTGGCTCTCAACCCGAAACCTGCCCCTTCGCCTGCCGTGCCGGAAGCTGGGTCGGCGGTTTGTGGGGCCCTTTAAAGTCCTGAGGAGATTGAACAAGGTTTGTTATAGGTTACAGCTCCCCCCTGATTACCGTATTAACCCCTCGTTCCATGTGTCTCTCCTCAGGCCGGTGGTAGCTGGTCCGCTCCAGGAGGCTGAGGTGCAGGAGGTTCCTCCGCCCCCATTGGACATTGAGGGGGAACCGGCGTACTCGGTCCGTTCCATTCTGGATTCGAGGCGTCGGGTGGGGGGCCTGCAGTATCTCGTGGAGTGGGAGGGGTACGGTCCGGAGGAACGGAGCTGGATTCCCAGGAGGGACATCCTCAATCCCTCCCTGTTGAGGGAGTTCCATCGTCGTCATCCGACTCGCCCTGCTCCGCGTCCTCCTGGCCGTCCCAGAGGCCGGTGTCGGCGCACGGCTGGAGCCATGCGTCAAGGGGGGGGGGGGTACTGTCACGAATTCAGCCGAGGCTGCCCCTTGCTCGGGCAGGCTTTGATGTTCGTCGTCACCAGAGGACTAGCTGCCACCGATCGATGTTTTCTGTGTTACACTTATCTTGATCACACCTGTTACCCATTATGTTAATTTGTTTCCCTATTTTACCGTCTGGTTCCCTCATGGTGTTGTGTGTGATTGTTCGTTGTTTTGCTGTCTTTTGGTGAGCCGGTATTTGCTCTTCCCTGCGTGGAGGATTTGCTCTGCTTATTTTCTTCCAGTAAATAACTTTCTTTATACAGTTCTGTATCCTGCGCCTGATTCCATCCTACCGCTACACCCAGACGCATGACACTTACTGTAATACAGTGGCGGTCGGTGATGTTTAAATGAATGAAAGTTTACAACGTAGGTTCACAGGTCGAGAGAACAATTAGAGTAATCGAGGTGACAGACAATGACACATTCAATACCGCCTTGCACACTCTTGCCTGCATCTAACTGATCTAGGGTATAATCATTAGTCCAACAGTTGCAAATGAGAGTTTCTATTGGATAAATTCAGGTATATTTCTCCCTGTTCGATTCTGTTTTTCAACAGAATCGGCGGAATGAATACACCCCTGATCTCACGCAAACACTGTTCACTTTCATAGCAGCCACATAAAAACAGCATGATCCCTTTGATCGTTGTATAATTCCTTCTTGCATCTACGCGCTCTCCTCTCCTTCTAACCCTTTCACCTTTTCCCTTCGCTTATGGACTTCAGTGCACAACACATCAGCTGTCTGTGACCAGGCAAAAAAACCTTTCCAAACCTTTATACAGTATCATAACCACTAACCACTACACACAGCCTACATCATTGTCAACATATTAGCTAACGACGTTAGTAACGTCATAGTCAACATGGCTACTAGAACTATTGCGTTAGTAAACCTGCTACAATCATGCAGTACAGTGTACAGTCAGCAAGCAGTTACACCGGCGGGCCACGGTTGCAATAAATTAATAAATCCAAAGGTTTACCATGACTTGGAAGAGTACCAGTGTTGGATAGCCATAGCCAGCTAGCTAACATAGCATCCCTCTCTGTTTGAGCTGGGTGTTTGAGTAGGCTAAACTAGCTAGCTGCATTCGCTAGCTACACTATATATACACACAAAAGTACGTGGGCACCCTTTCAAATTAGTGGATTCGGCTATTTCAGCCACACCCGTTAATGACAGGTGTATAAAAATCGAGGACACAGCCATGCAATACCCATAGACAAACATTGGCAGTAGAATGGCCTTACTGAAGAGCTCAGTGGCTTTCAACGTGGCACCGTCATAAGATGCCACCTTTCCAACAAGTCAGTTTGTAAAATGTCTGCCTTGCTAGAGATGCCCCGGTCAACTGTAAGTGCTGTTATTGTGAAGTGGAAACGTCTATGTGCAACAAGGGCTCAGCCGCAAAGTGGTAGGTCACACAAGCTCACAGAACGGGACCGGTGAGTACTGAAGCGCATAGCGCGTCAAAATCGTCTATCCACGGTTTCAACACTCACTACCGAGTTCCAAACTGCTTAATATCAGCACAATAACTGTTCATCGGGAGCTTCATGAAATTGGTTTCCATGGCCGAGCAGCCGCACACAAGCCTAAGATCAACATGCGCAATGCCAAGCGTCGGCTGGAGTGGTGTAAAGCTGGAAATGCGTTCTCTGGAGTGATGAATCACACTTCACCATCTGGCAGTCCAACAGACGAATCTGGATTTGGCAGATGCCAGGAGAACGCTACCTGCACGAATGCATAGTGTCAACAGTAAAGTTTGGTGGAGGAAGAATAATGATCTGGGGCTGTTTTTCATGGTTTGGGCTAGGCCCCTTAGTTCCAGTGAAGGGAAATCTTAACGCTACAGCATACAATGACATTCTAGACGATTCTGTGCTTCCAACATTGTGGCAACAGTTTGGGGAAGGCCTTTTCCTGTTTCAGCATGACAATGACCCCGTGCACAAAGTGAGGTCCATACAGAAATGGTTTGTCGAGATCAGTGTGGAAGAAATTGACTGGCCTGCACACAGCCCTGACCTCAACCCCATCTAACCACTTTGGGATGAATTGGAACGCCGACTGCGAGCCAGGCCTAATCGCCCAACATCACTGCCAACCTCACTAATGCTCTTGTGGCTGAATGGAAGCAAGTCCCCACAGCAATGTTCCAACATCTAGTGGAAAGCTTTCCCAGAACAGTGGAGGCTGTTGTAGCAGCAAAGGGGGGACCAACTCCATATTAATGCCCATGATTTTGGAATGAGATGTTCGACGAGCAGGTGTCCACATACTTTTGGTCATGTAGTGTAAGTGAAAGTAAAAAAAAGACATCTAAATATTGCTCTCTCTCGCTCGCATCTCCTTCACTTTTAAAGAAATTAATTCGTTCAAAACTGTTCAACTATTGTCTTTCTCTCTCTTTGAGTCAACTACTCACCACATTTTATGCACTGCGGTGCTAGCTAGCTGTAGCTTATGCTTTCAGTACTAGATTTATTCTATGATCCTTTGATTGGGTGGACAACGTCAGTTCATGCTGCAAGAGCTCTGATAGGGTGGAGGACGTCCTCCGGAAGTTGTCATAATTAACGTGTAAGTCTATGGAAGGTGGTGAGAACCATGAGCCTCCTAGGTTTTGTATTGCAGTCAATGTACCCAGAGGAGGACGGACACTAGCGGTCCTCTGGCTACACCATGGTGATACCCTACAGAGTGCTGTTGAAGCTACTGTAGACTGATTGCAAAACAGGGAGTTTCAATCAATTATTTGGTGACCTGTTAATATATTTAGTATGGTTTTATCTGAAAAGGATAACTTTTTCACTATTTCAATTTTTTTTTTTAATTCACTGAGGATTGTCCTCCGCTTCCTCCTTTGAGGAGCCTCCACTGCTGTAATAGTTTTCAATTTTTAGTGTCAAGTGTCAAAAAGGAACAAAAAAGCAGTGTTCGTTTCATCAGCTGTTGTGCAATTTACAGATACAAAACACAGGAAAAAACACATTGACTGCAATGGGCCTTTAACCTTGTTATAAACAGTGTTATAAAACTGTAATACACATGCTATAGACGATGACATACCATGCTTTGTGTGATGTGGTTCCCTTCACTTAAATCCAGATTTCTCTGCGTCCCCGCATCACTAACAGGTAATCTCCTGGAGAGAGAAAACACATGGTCAGAATAATTTGTACACACACGCTGACATGACATAAGTGTTTGCCTGGTGGCAGTGGTGTGCAGTGCTCTAGTTAATGACCGGCTTAAAGGCTTGCGTTTTCAACAGCACGTCACGCTGAGAAAGAGCGAGAGGGGAGGAAGGGCAGAAAGGTGGGGAGAGGGTGTGATACCTCTGCTATTGCAACACCCATCACGCCCCTCAAATACGCACCCACAGTCCCCCTCCACCCGAAGTAGCCCCCCACACACTTTGGATCTCTCTCATTGGATCTCTCTCTATTTATTGCTCAAACACCAAACATACAAACACACATAACCTGCATTATCACCGTTAAGTGAGGATGGTGAAATTGCTGGTAGTGAGAGGTACCTATTTACCCAAGTCAGTCTGTCAGTGAGAGAGCGAGAGAGAGAAAGTTGGCTTCTCCATCATCGGAAAGAAAGGTGTCTGTGGCTCAAGCTCCGGGCCACAGGCTTGCCGCTTTTATTACAGTGACCTGGAGCTCATTAATCTTATTCTCCCTTGCTGCTCCTCCCTTCCCCCTATTCTTCCTGGAGGCTTGGGCACAACAGAGTCATGCCTGCCTGCCTGAACAACATCCATGTGAGACAGAACTGAGAACCCTTACATTTCCACGTAACATGTTGGGGGCGATGAAACAACAGAGCCCCATTAATTTTCGAGGGAAGCGAAGTGGGCGGGGGGGGGACCATTAGGCGATGCGAGCATGGGAGCATAAACAGGGTGGGACTAAAGTTGGGAAAAGCTGAACTTTATGCAAATACTCCGCAATCGAAGCTCACTATAGCTTCCAGCCCCTACAACAACAAAATAGCTTCAAGTGTTTTGTCCAAATACTGGTGATCAGCTAATAAAATAATGGACGACCTGACCAGAGAGGTCCAGGGCCTAAAGAACAGTTTGCAGTTCTCCCAGGAGAACGGCAAGATGACAGCAATCTATAAGTCATTGAGAGAGGACATCAGTTCTGTGTGTGAATCCATGATAACAATGACAGAGAAATCAGATTATCATCTCGAGGGACAATCAATGTGGAACAACATGTAGCTCAGTTGGTAGAGCATGGCGTTTGCAACGCCAGGGTTGTGGGTTCGATTCCCACGGGGGGTATGAAAAATAAATAAAATAATGTATGCACTCCCTAACTGTAAGTCGCTCTGGATAAGAGCGTCTGCTAAATTACTAAAATGTAAATGTAACATGGTTGGGGACGGAATTGCAGAATCTCCACGAGACCTGGACGGAGTCTGAGGACAAAGTGAGGGAAATGATCTCAGAGAAATTGAAGATGGACCATAGTAATATTGAGGTGGAGCGCACCTACAGGACTGGAAAACCCACCAAAGGCCCAGGTGACAGGCCCAGGCCGATTGTGGTCAAGTTCCTTAGGACAAAGTAGCTGTTCTGGAAAGAGCCAAGAACTTAAGAGGAACGTATATCTTCCTCAACAAGGACTATCCTGGACTTTCCATATTATGTCTGTCTCTGATAAGCTACCCAGGAAAGGGATGAAAATAGCCCATATTAATATATGTAACCTTAGAAATAAGGTTCATGAAATCAATAACATCAGATAACATTAATATATTAGCCATTTCTGAGACTCACTTAGATAATTCATTTGATGATACAGCAGTAGCAATACAAGGATATAACATCTATAGAAGAGACAGAAACGCTTATGGGAGAGGTGTTGGTGTGTGTTATATAAATATATATATATATATATTCAGAGCCATATCCCTGTAATGCTTAGAGAAGTTCTAATGTCAAGTGTTATTGAAGTGTTGTGGTTGCAGTTTCACTTAGCACATCTAAAAGCCTTTTCTTTTGGGGTGTTTATATAGGCCACCAAGTGCTAACAGTCAGCATCTAAATAATATGTGTGAAATGCTTGATAGTGTATGTGATGTAAACAGAGATGTCTAATTTATTGGGGACCTGAATATTGACTGGTTTCCATCAAGCTCAAGAGGAATCTTCTCACATCTATTTTGTGAAGTGCACCAGTCCTTCCTGCAGCAAAGTACCCCCACAGCATGACGCTGCCATCCCTGTGCCTCACGGTTGGGATGGTGTTCTTCGGCTTGCAAGCGACCCCCTTTTTCCTCCAAACATAACGATGGTCATTATGGCCAAACAGTTCTATTTTTGTTTCATCAGACCAGAGGACATTTCTCCAAAAAGTACGATCTTTGTCCCCATGTGCAGTTGCAAACCGTAGTCTGGCTTTTTTATGGCGGTTTTGGAGCAGTGGCATCTTCCTTGCTGAGCGGCCTTTCAGGTTATGTCGATATAGGACTCGTTTTACTGTGGATATAGATACTTTTGTACCTGTTTCCTCCAGCATCTTCACAAGGTCCTTTGCTGTTGTTCTGGGATTGATTTGCACTTTTCACACCAAAGTACGTTCATCTCTAGGAGACAGAACGCGTCTCCTTCCTGAGCGGTATGACGGCTGCGTGGTCCCATGGTGTTTATACTTGTGTACTATTGTTTGTACAGATGAACGTGGTACCTTCAGGCGTTTGGAAATTGCTCCCAAGGATGAACCAGACTTGTGGAGGTCTACAATTATTTTATCTGAGGTCTTGGCTGATTTCTTTTGATTTTCCCATGATGTCAAGCAAAGAGGCACTGAGTTTGAAGGTAGGCCTTGAAATACATCCACAGGTACACCTCCAATTGACTCAAATGATGTCAATTAGCCTATCAGAAGCTTCTAAAGCCATGACATCATTTTCTGGAATTTTCCAAGCTATTTAAAGGCACAGTCAACTTAGTGTATGTAAACATCTGACCCACTGGAATTGTGATACAGTGAATTATAAGTGAAATAATCTGTCTGTAAACAATTGTTGGAAAAATTACTTTTGTCATGCACAAAGTAGATGTCCTAACCGACTTGCCAAAACTATAGTTTGTTAACAAGAAATTTGTGGAGTGGTTGAAAAACAAGTTTTAATGACTCCAACATAAGTGTATTTAAACTTCCGACTTCAACTGTACGTATTTCCAAAACGATGGTTTACTTTAATGTAGCTGTTAGCGAGGTGTTGATAGCAACTGGTTGACTCATGCAGTGCTAATGTAACGTTTGCAGGCTGGTAGGGCTAACATTACCAGGCTAGTAAGGCTAACATTAGCAGGCTAGTTGGCTAGCAACCTTGCCAGCTGATTTGCAACAATAAAGTGTTTGCTTGTAAGTTGTCTGAACATTTTATTGAAACCAGTAGTCATGAGTGCAAATGAGTTGGTTTAACTTTAATTTGAAGTTATACACTGAGAAAAAAATATATACCATTTCAACGATTTTACTGAGTTACAGTTCATATAAGGAAATCAGTCAATTGAAATAAATAAATTAGGCCGTAATCTATGCATTTCACATGACTGGGCAGGGACGCAGCCATGGGTGGGCCTGGGAGGGTATAGGCCCACCCACTTGGCCGCCAAGCCCACCCACTGGGGAGCCAGGCCCAGCCAATCAGAATTAGTTTTTCCTCACAAAACGGCTTTATTACAGACAGAAATACTTAGTTTCATCAGCTGTCCGGGTGGATGGTCTCTGACGATCCCGCAGGTGACGAAGCTGGATGTGGAGGTCCTGGGCTGGCGTGGTTATACGTGATCTGCGGTTGTGAGGCCAGTTGGACATACTACTAAATTCTCTAAAAACAACAGAGGCAACATATGGTAGAGAAATGAACATTACATTCTCTGGCAACAGCTCTGGTGGACATTCCTGCAGTCAGCATGCCAATTGAACGCTCCCTCAAAACTTGAGACATCTTTGGTATTATGTTGTGTGACAAAACTGCACATTTTAGAGTGACCTTTTATTGTCCCCAGCACAAAGTGCACCTGTGTAATGATCATTCTGTTTAATCATCTTATTGATATGCCACACCTGTCACGTGGATGGATTATCTTGGCAAAGGACAATGCTCATTAACAGGGATGTAAACAAATTTGTGCACAAAATCTGACAGCAATACGTTTTTTTGGTGCGTATGGAAAATTTCTGGGATCTTTTATTTCAGCTCATGAAACATGGGACCAACACTTTACATGTTGCGTTTATATTTTTGTTCAGTATATATTTGAAGTTATTTCTGTTGGAGTTTACATTATAGGGAATAGGCTGGCTTGCAGGGTCCTCCATATAACGTCACACCACACAAAAACATTTTCCGACATGACTTCGGCATTCTTTGGAATTCTAATCGGTTTTATGTAATAACTCGAAAAATAGAAAAGAGAGGTGTAACTTTGAACTGGGACTTTGATGCATATACTAATGCAAATCCATATGTTACATGTGGTTGTTTATGCTACCTACCCTTTAACATCATTAGTACCCTTTAACCTCATTAGTAGGAAAATCAGAACAGCCTAAATGGAACACTTAATTTGTGGAAAAAGGAAAGAATATCAATCTGAATAATTGATTTGAAGATGCCAAATTATTAATATGCTATGATTATGAATAAGATGTTTGTAATTATTATATTTAAAAAGGGTTTCAAGATATTTCCTTGGGAAGACAAAGATAATGGAAGTTCTAGCCATTTGTCATGTCAAGGGAGGTTCTCTCTACTTCTGTAGGCCCATAAGGGTATAGGCTACATGCCTAGACCGTGTCCGAAGCCTTAATGTTTGACATCAACGCCTCTTTACAATACACAGGTGTATAGTAAAACAACCCCGCTGCCGGCCTTCAAACGAGCCCGTTGTGTGTGTGTGTGTGCGCAACGGGAGGAAAAACCAGAGCATGTCTATGCCCATCCCATGTGCTAAGAATAGTTTGTGCAACAAACAACTCCCGACAGCCATCCTCACAGGCCGTGGCCAGGCGGGCAGGCAGGCGGGGAGAGCGAGGGGGCGGCCGGGCTGGAGCCCGATTCGCACCATTAAACCGAAAACCACCGGGTGTTTTTAGCAAGCCTAGTAAGCTGCAGTCCAGTCATTATTGTGTGTTGTGGGGGAGGGAGCTGAGCAGAGAGAGAAAGAGAGTGTGAAAGAGAGGCGGAGAGAGATTTAGTCCAGTCGATCTCGTTTCCTGTTACTATCGCGATTTGACCTCCGTCTGACATGACATATGGGGAGGAACAAACACCAGCGCCACTGATAATTTCCTCACGGCCAGCGCTCAACCGACTTCCCAGGTTGCCCTCCTTTAATTTGTTATCCCTTGGGAGAGAAGAATGTAGGTTTGAGTGTGTATGTCTGTGTGTTCCATATAATATGAACACGATGTGTGGGGAGGGGGGCTCTTTGTCCCTGGCGCTCCGCCAGCTCTCTCTGGAGCGCGTAGGCTCGAGCTCCTGCTCTAAACAAAAAGATGCTGTGTGAAGCAGGATACTCTCCGCAGCTACGAGGGCGGGGAGTGGAGATAAACACGGATTATTATGCACACACCACTACGCATGGCTCGGTGTGTGTTACCAAAACGAAAAGAATGCTGAAAACAAATCTTAGAAGGGCCTTAAAAATACAATCTATTCACAATGATGGCTGCCCATAATCCCAGGGGGGTCCATAATTTGTCTCGTTTCAGTTAATACAATGATTACAGGTGTCTCAATAGTTGTAAATAAAATAGTAATTCTCAATTAGTCTTTTGATACATCACATTTATTTGGCATTCATTACGAGAGTCATTGAGATAACACACCGAATGTAACAGAAAACCCTTTCTCCAGTCCCCCAGTTTGTATAGCAGAGAGAGAGAGAGAGAGAGAGAGAGAGAGAGGATAGAGAGAGAGAGAGAGAGAGAGAGAGAGAGAGAGAGAGAGAGAGAGAGACACAGAGAGAGAGAGAGACAGAGAGACAGAGAGACAGAGAGACAGAGAGACAGAGAGAGAGAGAGAGAGAGACAGAGACAGAGAGAGACAGAGACAGAGAGAGACAGAGAGACAGAGACAGAGAGACAGAGAGACAGAGACAGAGAGACAGAGAGACAGAGAGACAGAGAGACAGAGAGACAGAGAGACAGAGAGACAGAGACAGAGAGACAGAGACAGAGAGAGAGCCTTGCAGTGTGTGGGTGTGTCAGAGAGAGACCGGGGCAGGGAAACTTCGAGACAGCTCCTCATAGAAAGAGAGAGAGACGCGTGCAGGCCTCCAACACTTCTCCGCACCGAATACCAGCGCGGCAAGACAGACAGGCGGAGGCCGCAGGGGCGGATAGGGGGGCTAAATAAACCGCGCAGAGAAGGGCTTTCGCTTCCCATGCCACACGATTCAACGATCCCGTAGTCAATACACAGCATCTTATTCCGTAACACACAATGTGAGAGAAGTGGACACAGTGTCACAACATGACCATGGAAAGTCAGAAACTCAATTCGGAGAAAATTCTACCACCAAGTCCCTTACTGGCTAATCTCAACATCCCAACAATTTAGCACAATATATCCGTTGTCAACAAATTATCAGTAGGGATCGGCTACATATCAATATATTATTTCCATATAGCGAACACACGCCATGACCAATGAAATACATAACCCTACAATTGGGATATTGTGTCCACGTGGTCCCGTGGCAGAGGGAGTGGGGAAGCGGAGGAGGAAACGGACGAGAGAGAGACCTCGGCTATATAGTGCACACATACACACACACACACACTCAGGCAGGTGCACAGACAGGAGTGTACCTGTGCCCGAGCACCTGCCTCTTTGCCCTCTGTCTCCAAGTGCCATTTTGGGTGGTGGTATAATTACAGTGCCTTCAAAAAGTATTCACACCTCTTGACTTATTCCACACTTGTGTTACAGCATGAATTCAAAATATCAGCGGTCTAAGGCATTGCATCTCAGTGCTTGAGGCGTCACTACAGACCCCCTGGTTCGATTCCAGGCTGTATCACAACCAGCCGTGATTGGGAGTCCCATAGGGCGGCGCACAATTGGCCCAGCGTCGTCCAAATTTGTTCTTAACTGACTTGCCTAGTTAAATAAATAAAATAAATGTCAAAGTGGAAGAAAAATTATATTAGTGGAAAAAAACGGAAAAAAACCCCCCCTAATATATCTTGATTAGATAAGCATTCAACCCCGAGTCAATACATGTTAGAATCACATTTGGCAGCGATTACAGCTGTGAGTATTTCTGGGTAAATCTAAGAGCTTTGCACACCTGGGGCCTCATTTATCAATCAAGCGTTACCACAAATATGTGCGTAAACCATGCGTGGGATCATTTCCACGCAAAGTGTGAGATTTAACAATATTCATGTTTGCATTGTGCGTAAATTTAAGCACAACCATGACCATGTGTACACACAGTGCGAAGTGGTGGAATAAGGGAACTGCTTGTCAGGCATAGAATGGGGAAAATATGTTTCAAATGTGTGAAATTGTTAGAGTAGCCTAAAAATTTAATAATTGTTCGATTTCATTGTATTTCCACTGTGAATTCATGAAACTTATCTTGACAATGTCATATAATTTGAACACATCAGTGCATTTGTTAGGTAATAATCCTTATAAAGTACAGTAATTTGTCAAATTAGAGGCAAGTGTGAAAGTTAAACCATTGTTGAAATACTATAAAAGACTGAGATAATGGGAAATATTGCTCTGTTGAAAGATTTGGCACAAGCTGCATATCGCTGACAGTGCGTTTTTAAAGGCAGGTGGGCCTTTTTTTGCAGAAAGTACAGATTGGCTCATCAGATATCCATTTTATAGGATTTTTGCAATGACTTAACAACTACTTTAAAAAAGGCAAACATGCCATTCCGGTGCACATCTAAGTGCTATCCACCCTAGGGTTTTGGCAACGGGCACTTTTCAGCAAGAGTTTGCAGATCGGCATCTCACAGCTCTCAATGAGCCGATGTTTTGGATGCAATCGTCTGTAAAACAAACAGTAGCACATACAATTTCCATACACCATCGCACAAAAGTCAAGAGGGTTTTTATTTTAAATAATAATATAATATGTTTCTAAACACTTCTACATTCATGTGGATGCTACCATGATTATGGATAGTCCTGAATGAATTGTGAATAATGATGAGTGACAAAGTTAGACGCACAAATTTCATACGCATTTTTGGGAGAGTATGATATTTGGGCGTCTGTAAAATGACACAATACATTATTTACCATTCATTTCTATTGGGCACAAAATAATCTGAAACACAACCGATGACAAGCATACCCATAACATGATGCAGCCACCACCATGCTTGAAAATATGAAGAGTGGTACTCAGTGATGTGTTGTTGGATTTGCCCCAAACATAACACTTTGTATTCAGGACATAAAGTTCATTTCTTTGCCACATTTTTTGCAGTTTTAATTTAGTGCCTTATTGCAAACAGGATGCATGTTTTGGAATATGTTTTATTCTGTACAGGTTTCCTTTTCACTCAGTCAATTAGGTTAGTATTGTGGATTAACTACAATGTTGTTGATCCATCTTCAGTTCTCTCCCATCACAGTCATTAATAAAGTCAACATTGGCCTCCGGCAACTGAGGTAGGAAGGACGCCTGTATATGTTTAGTGACTGGGTGTGTTGATACACCATCCAAAGTGTAATGAATAACTTGCCTGATGAAGACCTAAGGGTCGAAACGTTGTTATAATAAAATCACCTGGGAGCATGAGCAGTAGTGTTTTCCTTTTTAATTAATAACTTCACCATGCTCAAAGGGATATTCAATGTCAGCTATATTTTGTTTTTACCCATCTACCAATAGGTGCCCTTCTTTGAGAGGCATTGGAAAACCTCCCTGGTCTTGTGGTTGAATCGGTGTTTGAAATTCACTGCTCGACTGAGGGACCTTACAGATAATTGTATGTGTGGGGTACAGAGATGAGGTAGTCATTCAAAAATCATGTTAAACACTATTATTGCACACAGAGTGAGTCCATGCAATTTATTATGTGACTTGTTAAGCCATTTCTGACTCCTGAAATTATTTAGGCTTGCCATAACAAAGTTAATTAGGGTTGAATACTTATTGACTCCAGACATGTCAGCTTTTCATTTTTAATTAATTTGTAAACATTTGTAAAAACATAATACCAGTTTTACATTATGGGGCATTGTGTGTAGGCCAGTGACACATATTCTTAATTTAATCAATTTGAAAGTCAGGCTGTAACATCAAAATGTGGAAAAGTCAAGGGATGTGAATAGTTTCTGAAGGCACTGTATTTGTTTCTGTAGAGTTTTTGCCGTTGTTCTTAACCCACATCCCCCATATCGTTGCGACGTCATCAAGTTGGCCACCCCTCGGTTGGTCTGCCCTGTAAAGAGATCACGTGAGCCCGGTTGTACCTTTCACTACCCCCTACTAGTTTGATGGTTGTATCCATTAAGTGTCCCATTTATTAACAAATCACCCATATTAGCAAACGTATTTCATTTCAAACTTCACATTTCTCTAGTAGGCCTACTTATCGTAATTAATAATATCAGCAAAATGCCTGCTATAAGGGACAATCCCTCTTAATACCCCCTTCCCTGTACTGTACTGTATTCAGCACTAACAGGTGAGTCTCAAACGTCAACTAACATGGAAACCAAACCACTGTTTCCACTCCTCAAGTGACAAGACTTTCAATGTCTTTAACTGTCTCAAATGTAATATTCCCTCTTGCTTCTACTATAATTCAGTTCGCACAGACCAAAGCGTTCTCTGTCCAAAACCTCCTCTTAATTTCCCCCTTTCAGGGTAGGCCTACTCATCATTGCTGAGTCATGTCATGGGACAATAGCAGGCAAGCTCTCACTGACGTTGCCTATTGGTCTATATGAAGTGATCACTTATTTGCCACAGTGAGGGGAAAAACACTATGTCAGAAATCGCAGTTTCCCTACCTAGCTAAAGGCAGTTGGGGAAAGAGTAGGCCATGGGGTGAAGTATGGTCGGTGTGATAGTTTATTGTCCCA